TCGTGTCAGAATTGACCTGAAATCTAGGATACTCAGTTGGTGTCTGCTAGAGAGTTGATTGGTATGAATACCTGCATACGTCCGGTGTCAGAAGTGCTGTGTGTTGAAGCTGGGCACGATGGTGCATACATGGAGTCCCAGCACTTGGGAAATGAAGGCAGTAGGATCAGGAGTTAAAAGCCATCCTTAGCTACCCAGTGAGTTTGAGACCTGCTTAGGTTACATAAGACTGTGTATCAAGAAGCAAAAAACTTGTATCAAGCCAAGAACTGTTCTATGTTGAGATCAGGCACAGTGTTATATAACTGTAGTCCCAAATGTTCTAGATTGCCTTCAATTGCCATGACAAAACATTCTGACCAATACCAGCTTGGGGAGGAAAGAGTTTATTCAGCTTCCATCTCCAGAGTCACAGTTTATCAGTGAGGGAGCCCAAGGAACTCAGGGCAGGTGGGTGCTGGGAATCCTACCTGGGTCCTGTGCAAGAGCAGTCAGTGCTCTTAACCACTGAGTCATCTCTCCAGCCCCTTTATCTTTTTTTGAGCTGGTCTGGAACTCACTACATACTTCAAGCTTGCCTCCGACTTATGTCGATCCTGACCTCTGAAGTGATGAGATTCTAGGCATTTGACACTTCACCTGGCTCATAGCATTTTGTTATGTTAAAAAGTTCAATAAATATTTTAATTAGGAACGTAGAAAATTATATTTAAGGGAAAACTGACATCTTTACAATGTTGAGCCTCTCTAAAGAAAAAGTATACATTTTAAAAAGATCGTGTCAGAATTGACCTGAAATCTAGGATACTCAGTTGGTGTCTGCTAGAGAGTTGATTGGTATGAATACCTGCATACGTCCGGTGTCAGAAGTGCTGTGTGTTGAAGCTGGGCACGATGGTGCATACATGGAGTCCCAGCACTTGGGAAATGAAGGCAGTAGGATCAGGAGTTAAAAGCCATCCTTAGCTACCCAGTGAGTTTGAGACCTGCTTAGGTTACATAAGACTGTGTATCAAGAAGCAAAAAACTTGTATCAAGCCAAGAACTGTTCTATGTTGAGATCAGGCACAGTGTTATATAACTGTAGTCCCAAATGTTCTAGATTGCCTTCAATTGCCATGACAAAACATTCTGACCAATACCAGCTTGGGGAGGAAAGAGTTTATTCAGCTTCCATCTCCAGAGTCACAGTTTATCAGTGAGGGAGCCCAAGGAACTCAGGGCAGGAACTTGGAGGCAGGAGCTGAAGCACAGCAGCTTACTGATTTGTTGCCCTGGCCCATGCTTTCTGATACAACACAGAACAACCTGCCTGGGGGTGGTGGGTGGAAGGTGGGGGTGGGGGTGGCACCCACAGTGGGGAGGGCCCATAGTGGGTGGGGTCCCTCCCACAACACTCAATAATCAAGAAGATACCCCATAGACATGGCCAGAGGCTAGTCCAATTGAGGCTAGTCCAATTGAGGCAATTTTGCCAATTGAGGCTCCCTCCACCCAGGTATGTGAAGTTGATAGTAAAGCTATCCAGCACACCATGTCAAAGCAAAAGCAGCTTTCACCTTCACGGGAATAAGAGGTAGTTTATTCTGAGCCAAGTATGAGTACAGGTTGCCTGGAATAACATGTTCCAAGGTAGAAGTTTTAGTTTTTACTTTAATCTTTAAATCTATCTATCTATCTATCTATCTATCTATCTATCTATCTATCTATCTATCTATCTATCTATCATCTATCTATCATCTATCATCTATCTATCTATCTATCTATCTATCTATCTATCTATCTATCATCTATCTATCTATTATCATCTATCTATCTATCTATCTATCTATCTATCTATCTATCTCTATCTATCTATCTATCATCTATCTATCATCTATCTGTTTATTGAGGCAGGGTGTCAGGCATCCCAGGCTGGCCTTGAACTTGCTATGTGTCTGAAGATGATATTGAACTTCCAGTCTTGTCGCTACCTTCTAAGTGCTGGGATTACAGGCCTGTGCCATCCTATGTAGTTTATATGGTGTTGGAGATGGAAGCTGAGGCGTCGAATATGCTAGGCTAGGACTCTACCATCTAAACTACATTCCCAGTCCCATGAAGTTTTTACAATCACAGAACAAAAGAAAGTCATAAGTCAAGGCATTTTCTAAATTCTTTGGTGGGGACATGGGTCAGGCAGGTGACAACAAAGCAGATGCTGTGTGATGATTACGTTGGTGAAAGCTATCAGTAAGTTAATACATTCCAAAGATTTGCCCTGATAGTTGAAAGGATGTTAAGTCAGATACAGAAGGTGGATGCTAAATGGCTATTCAGGGGGCTAAAGATCGCCTAAGATAATTTTGGCTCTGCATCTGTAACATTCTGATTCTACACAATGTAAAGTTTTAACCCTTCAGCCAGCCCTGAAAAGTCCTGAACATAGTGTTTTGTTTTTTTATTTAATAGGAACTTCAGTTTATACTCAGTACTTGAGAAGGAAGCAGGAGAACTGATCGGGAGTTTAAGGCTAGCCTGGGCAGCAAACAAAATCAGATAGAACCCAAAGTAGTTTTATGTGTAGAGTGTGAAGACAAATTTTCTATTTTACTTTATAATTCCTCAGTTCACTTTTCTTCAGGGAGGCTTAACAGATCGCTACATTTATGTATAAGTAGTTTTTTTTTTTCTTTTTGAGACAGGGTCTCCTTGTAGCCCCAGCTGTCCTGGAACTCACTATGTAGACCAGACTGGTCCAGGCTGGTCCTCAAACTCACAAAGATCTGCCTGCCTCTGCCTCCTGAGTGCTGGGATTAAAGGCGTGTGCCACCATGCCTGGCATGTATAAGTAGTTTTATTTTTTACTATTAAAAAAAATGATTTAGTTATTTTCCTTTGTACAAGTGATTTGATTGCCTGTATGTTTACTGGTATGTGTGTAGTGCCCTCAAAGGCTGGGAGAGGGTGAAAGAGCCACGATGTAGATGCTAGGAACTGAACCTGGGTCCTCTGGAAGAATAGCAAGTGTTCTTAATGCCCGAGCCAACTCTTCAGCCCCATTTCTTTTGAGACAGAGTCTCAATATGTAGCCCAGGTGGGCTTCAAACTCACTGTATAACTGTGGATGACCTTGAACTTCTGATCCTCCTGTCTCCACTGCCCAAGTGCTGGTATTACAAGCATGTGCTGCTAAGCCCAGTTTACTTATTAATAATAGTTCTGTGTGTATGTTTACTAGAGATTGAAGGCAGGGTCTCATACATGCTAGACAAGCACTCAAGCACTGGGCTATATTCTCAGGCTTTTTTTTGCTTTTTATTTTGAGATAGGGTCTCATTAAGTAGCCTGAGCAGGCCTTGAACTTGGGATCCTCTACCACAGAACTGGCTCATTTCTAATAGTCTTTTTTTATTTTTTGTAGGGGAGAGAAATACAGAGTAGATAAGAGTGTGAGATCTGGGGTAGACAACCTGGGTTTAAACTGTCATCTTTGCTTTAGTTCTAGTATCTAATTTTTCTGAAACTTAATTTTCTCATCTGTGGAGCCGACCTCTAATACCTTTCTTGTTGGATTGGTGTTGTATTTATTATACCTGTATCTAAGTTTTTTTGATTGATTTATTTTTATTTTATGAGTATTAGTGTTTTGTCTGCATAGATGTAAGTGCACCATGTGTGTGCAATGCCCATGGAAGTCAGAAGAGGGCGTCAGATCCTATGAAAGTGGAGTTATAGACAGTTGTTAGCCATCATGTGGGTGCTGTGAACTGAACCTGGGTCCTCTGCAAGAGTAACCAGTGCTCATAACCACTGAGCCATTGCTTTAGCCCCTCAACCTATATTTATTTAAGACCTACTCTATCGTTGTCTTGGTGAACAAGCTTTAGCTATATGCCAGGCATTGAGAGTATAGTGTTGAACAAGATGGACAAGGTCCTAGTGCCCATGGAGGCTGTCATTATGTCATTCTAGTAGATTATGAGGATCAAATGAGATAAAATATGGAATGCAATATCGTAATGCCTAGAATTATGAAATCAAGAAGGGTCACACTAGCTGTCCTTGCCATCCTCTGGTCGTGCTACAGTGCAGTGCTTTGCAATTAAGCATGCTTATGGCTTAAAAAAAAGTCTTGGTTAGATAGTCGATGAATTAGCTTTGTGTTTTCTAGAGATTTGTTTGGCAAGTCTTTGCCTTCATCTAAATGTTGACCCAAATGTTGAGCATCAAAGCTCATCATTCTTCTTCTTTGATTTGAAATCCACCCGTTGTTCAACAATGAATTTGTTGGTTGTAATTATTTATCTGGCAGCAATCCTTCTATCATTTTGTAAGTCTGGCTTTAGAGAATCCCTTGGTTTCATAGCCTACCATTAGACACTCTGTTAAGGGCAGCCTGGAAAAACAGATACTGAGACAACTGAAAAACTGAATTGAGAAGATGTTAAGGTCATGCAGATGAACGTGGGGCCCTGTGAGAGAAGAAGGTAGTTTGAGAAGGCTCTGCAGGTGGTCAAACGGGTCCATTCCTACAAGGGCTCTCAGTCTTCTGTGCAAACTGCACACTGCACGACGGGTGCAGTGGTGTGGGAGCCAGCTCTTTCAGATCGTACATACTTTCTCTGCTCTGTGTTCAGTGCCATCAGATTTATAGTTTATCATCAACCATGGTGTCTGCTGATGCCCCTTGTTGTTGGAACCTCCAAGCAGTGTAGTCTTGGCACTGCAGCCTCATCCTTCAGGTAAGGGACAGGAGCTGGTGTTTTCTGAGGGAAAAGAATTGACAGTTCTTCCCTCTCTCCTGTCTCAAGAGCCTATTCTTTTTTTTTTTTTTTTTTTTTTTTTTTTTTGGTCTCCCTGTAGCCCCAGCTATCCTGGAGCTCACTATGTAGACCAGGCTGGCCTTGAACTCACAGAGATCGGCCTGCCTCTACCTCCTGAGTGCTGGGATTAAAGGCGTGCACCACCACGCCCGGCTCAAGAGTCTATTCTAACTCTTCCCTTTTATGTCTTCTCAGGACGTGGGCTCTCTAGATGAGAAGATGAAGAGCTTGGATGTGAATCAGGACTCAGAGCTCAAGTTCAATGAGTATTGGAGACTGATTGGGGAACTGGCCAAGGAAATAAGGAAGGAGAAGGCCGTGGAAATCCGGAAGAAGTAAAGCCTGCTGGTCAGGATGGGGGCAGGCAAGCCGGGCTGGGCAGGGCCAGGCACAACTCCACTCCCCAAATAAAACTTCTTTCTTGAAATACAGATGTTTATTATTCATACCGTACCCTGATTTCTTTTCTTGAGACCAGGAAATGGTAAAGCTCTGCTCTTACCTGAGGTGAAAATATGAAAATTATGAGCACTTTGAAGACAAAGAATGCAGTTCATCTTCAAATATTCTACAGCATCTAGCACTAGGTGTTTCCTATCCCCTATTCTGGTGTTGAGGACAGGACCCAGATCCTTGAGCATGCTAGCCATAGCAATAGGTCTTGCACTACATAGGTACTCAATAAAGAAGTAGTTGATGGGGCTAGAGAGATGGCTCAGTGGTTTGAAGCACTGGCTGCTCTTGCAGAAGACCTGGGTTCAGTTCCCAGCACCCACATGGTAGGTAACAACTGACTATAACTCCAGTTCCAGGGGATCCAACATCTTCTTCAGATCTCCATGAACATTGCAGGACATAGGAGCATTTACATACATGCAGGCAATACACTCATATACATAAAATATAATAAAAAGTAATAAAAAACATATTTTAAGGGGCTGGAGAGATGGCTCAGCAGTTAAGAGCACTGACTGCTCTTACAGAGGACCCGGTTATGATTCCCAGCACCCACATGACAGCTACAAACCGACCTTAACTCCAGTTCCAGGGGAATCCGAAGCCCTCTCTGACCTCCGCAGCATTGCATGACACCAGTGCACTCACATACATGCAGACGATACACTCATACACATAAAATAACAAATAAAATATTAAAAAATATATTTTAAAAAGAAGTAGTTGATGGTGAATGGTACAGAGATCTAAGGTGGGCAAGGTAGCTCCTGAGGCTCAGATCCACAGTTCTGGCTCCCAGTTTTCCCCATATTATTCCTGGGGTTTGTCCTTTGGCTGGAAATGATAGTAATGAACATGTCCTTACTATGTGTCAGGCATAGGGTTAAACATTTTACCTACATTATCCTAGCTGACTCAGCTATTAAGGTTAATTCATTAATTTATTTTTGCAATACTGAGGATTGAACTTGTGGCCTCACATATGCTATGCTAGTGAGTGCTCTAGAGCCGTATCCGGTAGGGAGCGGGAGCTGTGGCACTGTGGGGAGCACTCGGACACAGTGCTGTTGCCCTCTCTGTGTTCCCTGACTTGGGCATGTGGTTGGCATAACCCACCACAAGGGAGAGCAGGGGCGGGGTGGGGCAGTGATGCCAGGTCTCCTGGGCGGTCCCTGCTGTACTGCAGGTATCCACATGGGGCAGCTAGTAGACCAGAGAAATGTTGGTTGAGGCAGACTCCCCATCACACACCACGAAGGGGTCCCCATGGAGATAATCATTTTAAGGGCCCCAGGTAGGCACCTCAGAGGGATCCTCAGGTTGGGAGGGGGTGTTGGCAGAGACATTCCAGAGGGACTTCCAGACTCCTCAGAGGGAACTCAGACTGAGGCACTCTTAGAAAGCCCTCAGATAGAGAGACCCTTATAGGGTCCCCAGACTGAAGCCCTTCAGAGGAGATCTCTAAGTGAGACAGTAGTGAAAGGAGCCTTGATTGAGACCAGAAATCCAGGAGACTCACTCCTAGCAGAAGGCACAAGGAAGAGCACTGATTTAAGAGTCAGGAAGGGAACGTTGGCTCTGGGCTCACCCTGTCCTGCTGACATCATTGTTCTTCCTCCTGTCCCTTTCCCACAACTTTAGGTCCTAGGTCCTGGGCAGGTGGGGAGGGCTAATTGGTCACAGTTCCAGGAAGTACAGTTCAGGCTCCCTGGGGTGACATCCTGGGTATGAGATTAGAGGGCTGGTTGTGAGGTGCTGGGTCAGGGAAGGGATAGGATTTTGAGGGAGGGAAGAGGTTGCAGCCCAACCAGTTTGGAGAGGTTGTTACCTGCCAGGTAACTTCTGAGGCTTGCACATATGTACTCTGGGCTGCTGTAGGGAGCTGGTAGGAAATCAGGTGAAGGCTTAGTGCAGCTCCATGTACCAGGGTACCCTGCTCTGGCCTTTCCTCCCAACCTTTCCGTCTCTGCTGTTGGGAAAGGTTGGGCTCTGGGTTTCAGCAGGTTTGAGTGGTATTATCCAGACTGGCCCTCGTTGGGAGGGAAAAGGGGGGAGAGAGAGAGAGAGAGAGGCAGGCCAGGTGGACCTCTTTCAAGGTCCTCCTTCTGCAAACTCACTTTGGCCCTTGTTCCTTTCAATGCAGACCCCTCTGTTTCCCTGCCTCCCAACTGCTCCAGGCTCCTCCACCTCCAGGTGAGACTCCCTCCTCATCCCCAAGCCTTCTCCTCCTATGACTTTGTAAGGTGATCTGGGCTAGGGGCATCCCAGACCCAGTTCTCTATGGCTTCCTCCTCATGGCAGGGTGGGGACAGATTCTGGATCTCTGGCCAGTGAAGGGTGGGGCTCACACAGCTGGCTCACTGCCCAGGAGGCTGCAATAGCTGGGGTGGCTGAGGGATGAGGCCCGCCCCTGGCCTCCCCTCCCTTCCCCCAGGTATAAGAGCCTAACTTAGGTGAGCTGGCTCCTCCCGTTCAGTCTCTGCAGCTGCCAGCAGGTAAGGAAGCCCAGGGCCTTCCACCTAGATGGGCTGTCTCTCTCCAGGGAGCACCCTATGCCTATCCTACCCAAGTCTCACAGGGGTGGCTGGAGGAGGTGGGAGGAATGAAGCTGAGGTAAGGTCCAGGGGATTCCCTCTGAGTGGGTTGGCCTGGGGACTGTGGCCTTAGCTCCTGGAGTTTGGGCAGGGATTGGGCCTGTGTGGCGTAGACTCCAACTCCTTAAGTGAAGGAACATGTTGGGTGAAACCAAAAGTGGCCATGGAAAAAGAATGAACTCTCTCCTTACTTAAGGCTCCCCCCCTCCTCTAGGCAGATCATGAGCCATCAGCTTCTCTGGGGCAGGCTGTAGGACGAAGGACAAAGCCCTCGCCAAACGATCAGTGCACCAGACACCATGGGACAGTGTCGGTCAGCCAACGCGGAGGTGGGCCCATTCATCTGGCCTGTCTTTCTGTTCTTACACTCCTCTCTTGTGCTGAGGATTTGTGTCTCTGGCTGATTCCTGCCCCTTACCTGGGTCTTGTCCTGAAACTAGACAGTGCCAGCAAGATCCAAATCCCCTTTGTGATCCCTACACAGATGGCGTTCTTCTGGAAAGAGACTGTCTGGGCACATGCTGGGGCCTGCCCTGCCTGGGGTTGGGGGTGGTGGGGAGGGAAGGCTTGCCTAATCTGTGGCTCAGGGCAGAGGCCATTGTGGTCTGCAGGCCGGGCCACGGGTAAGGGAGAGAGGCAGGATTCTGGGCTCTGGAGTGCCTTCCAGATGCTTTCTGCCCTGATGGTTTTGCCAAGGCTCCTGAGAAACAGGTTATTGTAGGGTGGGTGGGGCCTTCTGATGTGGATTATGTCTCCTGTCTTCAGGATGCCCAAGAATTCAGTGATGTGGAGAGGGCCATTGAGACTCTTATTAAGAACTTCCACCAGTACTCTGTGGAGGGTGGAAAGGAGACATTGACCCCTGCTGAGCTACAAGACCTGGTCACCCAGCAGCTGCCCCACCTCATGCCGGTACTGAGGGAGTGGCCCTTACCCCATCTAAACCCCTGACTTTCCAGCAAGTGCTCTAAACCCCCACTCACACTGGCACTGGTAATTCCCAGCCTTTCCCCCTTGCCAGTGCCAGGTAGGCTGCTGTCCTGCTACCTGCCCCGGGCCAGGGTGGGGTGGGAAGATCTGGAGGTGCTGCCTTGCTGAGCTGTGGTGTCTTTCTCCTCCTCAGAGCAATTGTGGGCTAGAAGAGAAAATTGCCAACCTGGGCAACTGTAATGACTCTAAACTGGAGTTTGGTAGCTTCTGGGAGCTGATTGGAGAAGCAGCCAAGAGTGTGAAGATGGAGAGCCCTGTCCCTGGGAGCTGAAAACCTCATCCTGGAACTTGTGGGTGGGGGGTGGTGGTTGGGGAGAGGGACCTTAGAGACTATGGGCCTGGAAATAAAACTTCTCCCCACCCCCATCACTCTATTCCCAGCCTGCACCTCATCTCTGCATGGTTCAGGCTCATGACAGCCTTCCCCATGGGCTCTGTGAACTCATTCAGGGTGCTCTGTAACGCTCATGGGTTCAGAAGTCCCCACCCCAGGGTAGCTCATGGGGTGGGTTGGGGCTGGGGGGGACATGCAAGAATGCTGGAAGGGGCTGGGAAGGATGCTGCAAGTGATTTGGTAATGGGGAAGGGCTGAGAGGAGCTGGGCTGTGGGAAATGATTTGAGGACTGGGGCTGGGAAAATGGCTGGATACTTGGCACTAAAAAGAGTCTCTGAGAACCTCCCCCTCCTAAACTCCTGTCTAACCTAAACTGCAGTCATCTTCTCCAACCCTCCCTGATCCCAGCTCTGCTCCATCCTCTTCCCAGGATCTCTCCTTGAGCAGAGACACAGGAGAAGGGAGCAGGGTTGGAGAAGAGGCTGAGGAGGGTATGATTTGGGATGAGATGACCATCTGGGTGCTTGGGCATTTACAGAATAGTAGTTTTGTATCATTTGATTAATAAAAAATGGAAAAAGTGAAATATATTGTCTTGATTGTTGTTCCCCCCCCTTCCTACTCCACCAACTAGGTTGCAGGGTCCATGGTGAGAGGTTCTTTGGAGGTAAATGGTAGAGTCATCAGTGGGAGGGAGATATGAGGCTGGAGTCGTTGGCCGTAGAAGGGTCTGGGTACTTGCTTTTCTCCATGGACTTGGGTTGAAGGTGGTTCCAGGTGTAAAAGGTGAGAGATCTATCCCTCTCTGAGGGACAGGTACTCCTTGGCTGTGGGCTGGCCCTCTGACAGGAGATGGGAGCATGTGTTCATACCTGGGGAAAGGACATAAACCAGGTGTCCTGGGGCATAGCTGAGTAATGAGGGAGACAGGTAGGGAGAAACAGATTGACTGGTTAGAGTCCCAGCTCTGCCACTTACAGCTTTTACAGTATGTTTCCTCAGAGATTTGAATAGTCAGTCCTCTCATAGGAGTGCTAGGAGGATGTTACAGTCCATCACAAAAATACTTACCAGAGAGCCTGACACAGGGAGTGCCTAGTAAGTGGAAGCCACCATGGGAGTGGGCCAAAGGGTCTCTCTGTTTTAGCAGCAGCCCCACTGTAAGGACGGCAAGCCGGTCAGTTTCCTTGGGTACACGCAGGAAAGGTACAGGGGCGGGGGGGTATATGGTAGGCACTTGTAGGGAAGTCTTGCTATGCATGATGGTCCTAGGGATGGATCTTAGAGCTTAAAAGGGCTGAACTAGAGAGAGGAGACCAGAAACAGCCGCTGGTTCCCAGTGTCTGTCCTCTGACTCCAGTCAACAGAAATCAGGTGCTGCTCCCCAAATCCCAACAGCAAGAAAGTTCCGGTGGCCCCGGTAGGCTGGTCTAGAGTGTTACCTGAACTTGTGTGTGGGGGGTTGTCCTGAAACCTGCCTCTCAATGACCCAGGTGAGAAGGGCAGGTGATGGTCCTTCCCGTGGGGTTAGGAGGGTGGGGTTGGGGGAGTGCCAGCTTCTACCACTCCCTCTGGGGTGGGGGTAGAAGGGTGTTAAAAAAGGTGTGTATCCCTTTAACCAGGGCCCAACCCCAGGGCCAAGTCAAGAGAGAGTTCAGTCACTACCTCCCCACAGCCAGCTCAGCCAGGCAAGGCCGGGAGGGAGTGGGACAGATTCTGGGAGGAGTCCTGGCTGGGCTGTGCAGGGAGCTGCTTGGCTGTCAGTACCCAGAGCACAGGCCCCAGAGCCCTGCTGGAAGAGGTGGACGGAGGAGGCAGGTGAGCACCCCAAACCCGGTCTGGGAGGTCTGGGCTGCCGGAGAGACCCTATAGACTTGGGAGGCCAGGAGAAGGGGCAGGGAAGGGGGCCTGGGGAGAAGAGTCTGCCAGACACTAGGCAGGAAGGTTTTGGTAATTATTAACCCTCCCCAATGGCTAATTTGGGAATGGGGAGCTCTGGTGGCTGCGGGAGGCCATCAGAGGAATAGATAGGGAAGCAGGACCCCTTCCTAGGCGAGCAGATGACTGGGCTCATCTCCAGGGGCTGGGACACTGGGCAGAACACTCTGGGGCCTTGCCCACAGCTGTTGTTGTGCCCTCTTCAAAATGAAACAGGGCAAGTGTGTGTTGGTGGGGGTTGGGGATAGTCAGACTCCAGATACAGGCCTCATTGGTCTATGGAAGCTATGTGGGAAAGGTAATGGGGTGCAGAAGGAACCAGAAAGGGCCCAGAGAGCCCAAGAACCCAGGAAGGTAAGGCGGGGGGGCCCAGGTGGCTTCTCCTTCACCTGAGGTAGACAGGGCCCGGATGTCGGCTTGATTGTGTTTTGGGTGGTGTCACATGGGAAGGGCCTGGGTGAGGCCCTGGGGAAGCCTGGGAGGTCCCCTGGTGCTGGAGAGGGAAAGAGAAAGAAGTGAGGCTTCAAACTGGCAGCTTTTCTACTTCGGGACCCAGGCAGGTCCTGGCTTGACTGACTTTGCCTGGCAGAGCCACCTGCACTGTAGGAGTATCCTCCTGCCCAGCCCAGTTGAGGTGGGGGCAAGGGCAGGGGTGATGGTGAGGTGGACTCAGCCTCTCTTTATCTACTAGTGAACAGACCTCTGAGCGATAGGAAGGCCTGGGGCAGAGATATGTCTGTGTATGTGTATGTGTACCTGCATGTGTGTGTGTGCACACGCGCCCTCCAACTTTACGCACTGGGAAAAAATTTCAACTCGACTTCTTGCTCTGAAAGCAGAAGTGAGCCGGATTCATGGGTTACCCAAGCAAAGGGGGTCAGGACTGGCAGAGTTCTCAGCTCTGTGTGTGTCCAAGAATGAATGAGATGTCGTGAGTCCTGTGAGGGTGCAAAGGGGTGAGACAGAAGAACCTAGGTGAAGCATTAGCCTCTTACAACTGGGAAAGGGAAAAGAGGGAGGGAGCAGAGATTGGGCCTGTGAGGCTGGAGAGATCCGCTCGAGACAGTCTTACAAACAGAAATCACCTTACTAGTCCAGTTCAGATATTTTGCTCTCCTGGCTAGCAGTTGGGAGGCAGAGGCAAGTGGATCTCTGTGAGTTCCAGGTCAGTCTGGTCTACATAGTGAGACCCTGTCTCAAAAAAAAGTGGAGGGAGAATGACTGAATGAATGCATTGCTGAGCAAGTAAGTGAATGAGTGAAGTGAACAGGCTATTGGTGAATGAGTAAGCAGATGAATGGTGAACGAATGAGTGAATTTGAGGTAGATGGAAGGGACACAGAGAATGCCAAAGTTAAATTAGGAAAGCTTGTAGGCTCTGTAGAGGATGCTGTGTAGAGAAGGGTTAGGGGTAGGAACCTATCCCAGCACTTGGAAACCATATGACTCAAAAAGTGTGTGAGAGGTAGGAAGAAACGGTGAACCTTGGAGAGTGTGGTGGGCCTTTTAGGCCTCCAGACCAAAGTGGACCTAGGGGTGGCAGTGAACAGACACTTGGAAGGGGGTGGGAACCAGAACCTGGGGCTGGAGGGTGGGGCTAGAGTGGCTGAGATCCAGGGGCTTGGTGTCAGGGCAATTTGGGCTTTTGGAGACATCAGCAAGCTGTGCTCAGGTGGGCGGGGTGGGGGAGGGAGCCTCCTTGTTGCTCAATGATGAATCAGCCCAGGAGAACACTGGGGGAAGGGTGGGGGCCCAAGGTGCAAAGCCCTCCCAGGGAAGGGCTCTTTGGAGGTAAGTGATATTCCTATTGCTGCTTTTGTGGAAGGCTTCAAGGTAAACTGTGTATACACCCATGCCTTCATGACCAAACCCCCATTCTTAGTCCTTGCCTGTGGACAGGCCTGCCTAGGAAGGGAACAGCACCCTTGCCCTCCCCCCATGCCTCAGGGAGGTCCTCAGGCCTGACTGTTGGAGAGATGGGGCTGCTGGAGCCGCAGCTGGGATGGGTGGGGTGGCAGGCAGAGCCTGTCTTCTGGCCCCCAGGGGAGGGCAGGAGGAGAGTAATGACACCTGACTGGCCCACTGTGATACTTTGCCTTTAGACAAAGCTCCAGAAAACACTTGTCCAGATGGTTATCTCAGAGCTGTCCATTTAACAAGAACCTGGGGAGGAGGCAGATTCCTGGGAGGAAGGCCTGGGAAAGTCAGGACAGTGAAGCCGCCCCTTTGGTCTGCCCAGTGCTTCCTGGGCCTGGTGGCTTCGTGTTCTGTTGGGAGTTTCTCTGTGTCTCCCTTGCTTGATTGCTACCAGAGGCCAGGTAGAGATTGGGCATGGTACCGAGGGGCAGGACGAGGTTCCTGGGTGAAGGAACAAGACTTAAGAAAGGCAAGTAGAAGCCCGGTGTGGTGGCACACGCCTTTAAACCCAGCACTTGGCAGAGGCAGGCAGCTCTCTTGTGAGTTCAAGGCCAGCCTGGTCTACATAGTGAGTTCCAGGACAGCTGGGGCTACAGGGAGACCCTGCTAAAAAAAGACAAAAGGAAAGGTGATGTGGATTGACCTTTAGGGAGAGGAGTAGAGGGTAGAGGGGCACTATCCCAAGTACTGTGCCTTTCCCTCTCCCTCTCCTTACTGTCCCTACCAGACTCCTTACTTGGAGTAGCTCTGGGATGGTGAGGAGTAGGAGGCACTCCAAATTCTCTTTTTGCTCCTAAAGGCTTGGTTGGTAGAGAGCTGGGCACAACCCTTCCTGATCTGGGTACAGGCTCCAGAATCTCCAGGAACTATGGCCTTGGGCCACTCCCACCCCACCCAAGGCAACAGAACAGATTGTGGGTTGAAAACTTTTCTTCCTCCATGTTTGTGAATTTTCAAGAATTCGTACGAACGTCTTACAAATATTGAACCACACAGTTACACCCATAACAAATAGAGAGTGGAGAAGAATATAGCTTCCTGTGGGTCTGGCTCTATGTCATCCTAGCCACAGACCAGAGTGGTCAGGCGGGTGAGGAGGGAAGGATTTCCCAGCAGATACTCCAGCCTGACCCCTCTTTCTCTCTCCTTCCTTCCTTCCTTTATCCTGGCTTTTTCCTCCTGGTCTCACCCCTCCTAAGAAAAAGCTCCATAAAAGAAAAAGCTTAGAAAGGTGGTCAGGGGCCTTAGACATCTGGCTTCATGGCTGAAGAAGGTGGAATATTTATAGAACTTTTCCCTTGAGTAAGGCAGTGGGCCACACAATGTGGGCTAGGGGAGTTACAGAGATTAAAAGGAGGGAAATTGTATATTCAGGATTGAAAAACACCACCCTCAAATCAATAAATCCTGCTGTTTGAATCAGAAAACAACTAACTGCATGTAAGAAACACCATGTTAGCTTCATAGACTGACCAGAGCTAGAAAGAGACAGTGCTCAACTAGTTAACGACCCTTGCCAATGTTGGTGTGGTGAAGAGAGATATGTCTGTGGGAGTCCAGGAAGGGTACAAAGATGATAGGGGTCAAGGCAGGCTTTCCTGTAGGCACAGTTTGGGGAAGGTTAGAGTGATAGATGTGCTTCAGCTGAGTGGAGACTGCAGCGTGATGTGCATTCGAGTAGGAATGACCACAAAAAGGATTAGAAAGCAGGTGGCAAGGACAGGGGGCATGATGGGTCTGATGAAGGAGACTACCTTTCTGAATCAGACTGTGGTTGCACAGGCCTGCCCAGTGGCTGTGTCCTTGCTGTGCCCACCTCCCCTTTCTGGAACCAGCAGGGTGAAGGCCGCAGGAGTTTGCTCTTGTGCTAGACGGTGGGAGGGGAGTCAGGTTTGCCAGGCTGCCTTGGAGGGGGCTCTGGGTATGGGCGGCGACTCAGAGTAGATCCGCCTGCCCCCCTCATATCCTGTTATTCAGAAGGCTGTGTCCGCTCAGAATGTGAGTGCCTTTTGTCCTGGGGTGAGGGGGTGATGCTTGTGGCCTCTGCCAGGCAGCTGCTGTGTCTAGAGTCAGTTTCCAGCTGGGGCAGAACTGGGCCTGGCTCCTCTTTAGGTAATGAATGGGGTAAGGAAGTGTTCTTGGGTCCTGATATATGCTTAAGGATGGTTATGGGGGAGGAGAGACTAACAGGGTGTGGTGTCAGGGAGGGTAGTGGCACAAAATCTGATCTAATGGAGCAGGACCTTGCCCTTTTCTGGAGAGGAGCAGTGGTGGCTTGAGCCCCTGGAGCCTGCTGAAGGGGTTGGAGTGGGCTTACGGCTCTTACCTCCTGGTGTACTGTGTGGTTTCAGCCAGTTCTAGGGTTGGGAGATAAAAGCCTCTAGCCCTATATGCCTTGCTTTTCCCAGCTCTACTTGCCCCTAGAACAGGGGACTTGAGTGGGAGGGCCAGCTACCTTCCTACCCTCCTGACAGGGGCCTCCTGCTTTTATCAGGACTCTGACAAGTGGTATGGCTGCCGGGGGCTGGGGAAGGGCCTGGAGAACCTGCTTGGCAGTTGGCTGGGGAGCACCTGGATTAGGGGAGCCACATAGCTCTCATTCCAGGACCTACCCCCACACCCCTCTTGCTGCCCTGTGCCGCCCCCTCCTTTCTCCAGAAGATTAGCAGCCTGGGGTTGCTGGGGGCAGGGGGTGGTGCCTCATCTCATCTTCCCTCTTTCTAGCTCCCAGGCCTGGAGAGGAGCTGAGGGCAGTGAGATGGCTGACTGCTACACAGAGCTGGAGAAGGCAGTTGTTGTCCTGGTGGAAAACTTCTACAAATATGTATCTAAGCACAGCCTGGTCAAAAACAAGATCAGCAAAAGCAGCTTCCGCAAGATGCTCCAGAGAGAGCTGAACCATATGTTAACGGTGCTGTATCCCACCCTCTGGTCTCCCTGACTGTTCTCCCTCTCAGAATACTTTTCCCCACTGAGGCCTCTGTCATTGTCCTTTAGGGACTCCTCCCAGCTCCCTGCAGGCCTAGCCAAGTAGGCTTTGTTTGTTGTTTGACAGCTGTTAGAACTGATTCTGGGTCTCTGCCTAGGGTCCTGTCTGGGAGCTCTGTGGGGCTGTCATCCCAAGTGTTACTAATTCCAAGTTCCTCTGCAGGATACAGGGAACCGAAAGGCTGCTGACAAGCTCATCCAGAACCTAGATGCCAACCGTGACGGGCGCATCAGCTTTGACGAGTACTGGACGTTGATAGGTGGCATCACCAGCCCCATGGCCAACCTCATCCGCCAGCAGGAGTGCCAGCAGGAGTCGCAGAGCAGCAGCTAGAGGCCTCTCTCACACCCTTTCTGCCCTGACCCATGCCCGGCCAGTGCTCTTCTCGGGCCCCCCTCACCTCTTTCTTCCCTTCTCCCTCCTGACCTGTTCCTAACCCCACAGAACAGCACAAGGGATATCAGGGCCTCTCTGTAAGTGTGTCAGTGGGATAGTGCTGCCCTAAGAGGTTCAGTCCTCAGAGTCCATAGGCCCTAGGGGTTCCTCTGTGAGATCTCAATGCTGTTCGGGGGCCCCAAGAGTTTCCTCATTTGTCCAGTCTATGTACTCTTCCAGTGCCTAATGTTCCTTTGATTCTTGCCTGATTCTGGGTCTGTCCTGGCCTCTGGAGGTCAGCTTGCTGCTTGAGGGCTCCCAGCTCCTGGATGTAGCAGCTGCGGAGTTGGCAGCACCAGTATTATCTTCTCTTCTTTCCTGATTCTGGGTCTGTCCTGGCCTCTGGAGGTCAGCTTGCTGCTTGAGGGCTCCCAGCTCCTGGCTGTAGCAGCTGTGGAGTTGGCAGCACCAGTATTATCTTCTCTTCTTTCTCTCCACCCCTCAACTGGGTGGAGAAACACTCTAAGGGACCCCCTCCAGCTGTCTCTGGGACTAGCCTAAACTGGGCTGAGTCTCTTTTCTTCTGCCACTGAAATAAAGGCTGGATGGAGTTTGTAACCCCTTAGCTGGTTCCTTTGTGATGCTCAATAACTCCTTACTCCCTGGAAATTTACCTTGGTGGTCATTGTCCTGGACCCCGAGGTTCTAGGGAATCACTCAAGGAAATCTCAAAGGTAAACAAAACAAGGAAAAAAGCTAGAAGTCAAGTTGGGCTTGGTAGTAAATGTATAATTCCAGAACTCAGGAGGCTGAAACATAAAGATCTGGAGTTCAAGGCCAGCCTGGGCTACATAACCAGGCATGGCGGTACATGCCTGTAATCCTAGCAGGATCAGGAGTTCAATGTCATTAATGTCTGCATAAGTGACTTTGAGGCCAAACTGGGCTTCCTGAGACCCTGTCTCAAAGATGAAGGAACCAGAACTCCTGGCTCTTAGTGCGGCCAGTCCTGGGCCAGAAACTCCTTCCCTCTTGTTCCACAAAGGACCAGAACCATGTATCTCAGTCTCCTGGTCCTTATAACCCACTCTCACACTCATATTAAATTTCTAGGTGTACAGTAGGTATCATTACTCCTCACTGCAATTATGTAAGAGGGCCTATGCCCCTCAGTCTCCAGCTGTGAGCGGCACTGAGGCCCTGAATCTTCCTCAGAGGGTGATCGCAATATGAAGATGCTATGGGATGGGGATACAGGGATACAAGGGAAGAGAGGTATGGGAGGCCAGAGAGAGAAAGGGAACCACTGTGTATAGCTGCTGGAGACAATGCCAGTTTCTCCATTTCTCTCTGCTGTTGCACTGAAGGAGTCTCGGGAGGGCCATGGCAGGAAACCACCCTGCAGAATACAGCATCAGGGGTTCCACATACCCATGGTTTAAGATGTCTCAAAGCTGGGCATGGTGGTGCATGCCTTTAATCCCAGCACTTGGGAGGCAGAGGCAGGTGGATCTGTGAGTTCAAGGCCAGCCTGGTCTACATAGTGAGTTCCAGGTCAACTGGGGCTACTGCCCCTGTCTAAAAAAAACAAAAAAAAAAAAAAAAAAAAGGATGTTTCAAAAGAGGCACAGGTTAGTTTTATTAGAGACCACTTAACCACTTAAAGATCTTCAACTTCCTGAAAGTAATCTGCCCCAGATAAACTGGTGTCAAGTCCTGCTGGCCCTTCTTTCCCATCTCTACAACACAATAATCCTCTTTCAGTTAAAAACAAAAGGTGTTGCTGGGTGTGGTGGCACACGCCTTTAATCCCAGCACTTGGGAGGCAGAGGCAGGCGGATCTCTGTGAGTTCAAGGCCAGAGACCCTGTCTCTAAAAAAAAACCAAAAAAAAAAAAACAACCCAAAAAAACAAAAACCAAAAGGTGTCACTGTTGCTTCTGCCAGATATTAATTGCTGTCTAACTGAACGGTAAAGAACATGCTCACATTTTTTTTGTGTGTAGGTTATCTATCTATCTAGCTAGCTAGCTGTCATCTATCTACCACCTACCTATCATCTATCTATCTGCCAACTATCATTTATCATATATATCATGATAAAAGCACAGTATTAGCTTACTTTTTATTTTTTAATATTTTAGTCATTATTTTTATGTGTATGTGTGTATTGCCAGCATGTAGGTAAGTGCACCTGTGTTGTGCAATGCCTGCAGAGGACAGAAGAGGGCGTTGATTCCCCTGGAACTGGAGTTATGGATGGTTGTATTTTTATTTACTTTTAAAAATTTTATGTTGAACTTTTTAATTTATCTTTTTTATGTGTATGAGTGTATTGTCTGCATGTATGTAAGTGCACTTGTGTCATGCAGTGCCTGCAGAGGTCAGAAGAGGGCGTTGGATTCCCCTGGAACTAGAGCTATGGATGGTTGTTGGCTGCCATGTGGGTACTGGGAATTGAACTTAGGTCCTCTGCAAGAGCAGCCAGTGCTCCTAACTGCTGAGCCATCTTTCCAGCCCCAGAGTTTAACTTTTTTTTTTTCTTTTGTCTTTTTGAGACAGGGTCTCCCTGTAGCTATAGCTGGCTTGGATTCACTATGGAGACTAGGCTGGCCTCAAATTCACAGAGATCTGCCTGCCTCTGCCTCCTGAGTGCTGGGACGTAAGGCGTGCACCACCATGTCTGGCTAAAGTTTAACATTTTTAAATACACATGACACAATATACTATTATAATGGCATGCATGTTACTTTTAAAAAGGCAATGTTTTGCTGGGCGTGGTGGTGCATGCTTGTAGTACCAGCACTTGGGAGGTGGGAGGCAGAGGCAGGTGGATTGTTGTGAGTTCAAGGCCAGCCTGGTCTATATAGAGAGGTCCAGGCCAGCTGAGGCTACAAGGAGATCCTGTCTCAAAAAGACCGAAAAAAAAAAAAAAAAAAAAAAGAAGGTAGTATTTTGATTTTATTTATTTAAATGTTTTATTAGCATGTATTAGTTATATGTAATAGTGGGTTTCATTATGACATTTTCATATGTGTATATAATGTGTTTTGATCATATTCACCACCACCACCCCTGTTACCCTTCTTGTCCCCCCCTCACTGCCACTAATCCCCTTCCCCTTCCCAGCTAGCCCCTCTTTTCTACTTTTATGTCTTTTTGTTTTGTTTTTGTGATCCATTGAGTTTTGAGTCAGGGTTTTGTGGGTGTGGTGAACCTGTGATCCTACCACTGGGGAGGCTGAGGCAGAAGGATTGCTGTACATTCAAGGTCAGCAAGAGAACATGTTAGAGAGGGGGAGAGAGAGGGAGAGAGAGAGAGAGAGAGAGAGAGAGAGAGATTTACTATGCTGCTATGCTTCCCAGGCTGGCCTTGAACTCCTGGGTCCAAGTGATCCGCCTTCAGTTTCTTGATGTCTGGACTACATGTATGCTCCCATGCAGGCTCTGTATGTACACAGTTGTACAACGGGTCTCTGTAACTTTTCCACCTTGTCTGAGCCTAAGCTATTGATCACCAACCCTGCTTTCCCCTTCAGTAGCCATTGTTCTCTTTTCTGTTTGTAAGAGTTTAATCACTTTAGATACCTCCTGTAAATTGAATCATACAGTATTTGTCTTTTGTAATTGGTGCTCGTGTTGTAGATTATGACATGATTTTCTTCCATTCTATGGCTGAGTAATAGTTTATTTATGTACATGCCACACTTTATTCATCCATCTGCTGATGAACATTTAGGTTCCTTGCTACTGAGAAGAATGTTTCAGTGAACATAGATATGTAAGTGTCTCTACAACATCTTATTTTCAGGGCTGAGGGGATGGTTCGTCTGTAAAGTGCTTGTCTTGTAAACATGAGGTTGAGTTTGATCCCCAGAACCCACTTAGAAAGCTATCTTGAAAAACAAACAAAGACCCCCCCCCCAAATCGCCCCAGTGTGATGATGCTTATCAATTAGCCCAGAACTTAGAAGGCTGAGGCAGGAGGATTTCTGTGCGTTTGAGAAATCAGCCTAGCTATACAGCAAATACCAGACTAGGTAGGGCTACACAACAAGACTTATCTCAAAAAACAAAAACAAAAACAAAAACAAAGAAACAAGACACTTTGCAATACACAATAAATTGTTTTTTTAATAAATATTTTATTTATTTTTATTTTATATGTATGAGTATTTTGCCAAAATGTATGTAAGTGTACCCATGAGTGCAGAGCCTAGAAGAGTTATGGATGGTTATTAGCCACCATGTGGGTGCTGGGAAACAAACCTGGGTCCTCTGCAAGAGCAGCCAGAGTTCTTAATTGCTGAGCTCTCTCTCCAGCCCCCTAAAACTTATTTTTAGTGTGTTTAGTTTTTGGACACAGGGTCTTGCTTTGTAGCCCAGGATGGCCTTGAAATTGAGAGGTCCTTGCTTCATCCTCCTTATAGGGGGCATCACCCTGCCCAGCTGTAAGAGTTCTTTACATTTTATGTATATAAAGTGTAGGTACTAGCTCCTTAGAGAAAATATGTCCCTAAACATGTCCACTCACTCTTGAGGCTGCCCTTTCAGTTGCTGATTTCGTTTTTATGTTTGAGGTAGTCCCATTTGTCTATTTTTGCTTTTTGTCATTTGTGCTTTTGGTGTCATTCAAGAAATCATTGCAAATACTAATGTTAAGAAGTTTCCTCCTCTTAGGGCTGGAGAGATGGCTCAGTGGTTAAGAACACTGGTTGTTCTTGCAAAAGACCCAGGTTCAAATCCCAGCACCCACATGGCAGCTAACAACTGTCCGTAACTCCAGTTCCAGGGGATCCAATAGCCTCTTCTGTCCTCTGCAGGCATTGCACGACATGGGTACGCTTACCTATATACAGGCAATACACACATACACATAAAATAAAAACAATAAATAAAAAATATTAAAAAAAAGAAGTTTCCTCCTGGGCTGCAGAGATGGCTCAGCAGTTAAGAGCACTGGCTGCTTTTGCAGAGGACCCGGCTTTGAATCCCAGCACCAACATAGTAACTAACAACCATAACTCTAGTTTCTGGGGAATCCAATGCCCTCTTCTGACTTCCATGGATATTATATGACATGGGTGCAGTTACATAATGCAGGCAA